TAGTATATATATATATATATATATATATATATATATATAATAGTATATATATATATATATTAGTGTATATATATATATATATATACACAAATTACATATACATACGTATATATATTTTTTCTTACACTGTGGCAAGTATTGTTCATTATTGTTATCTGTCAATTTTTTTATGCAATAAAGTAGCCTATAAAATATATACAAAAAATACATGATTATTGTTGTATTATTTTGCGTAAATGTGTTATCTGTACGAATTGATTATGTATAAAAAATATTTATATGATTTTTATATTGGAATATATTGGCATATTAATATGACTGATATGATATGTATATATTAATAAATTTGATTTGAGTTTGAATTGAATTTGAGAAAGAACTATTGTATAATCTAAAAGAAATCAATGATTAAAAGTTCGAAGCTTTCTGAGTCAATAATTATAATCATCAAAATTTTAAAAATAAAAATTGCGCTTAATGTTTAAATATTCCGCGAAAATTTTAGTATACATAATTCAATATTCTTTTACTGTTCAGAATGAATTGTTAGCGTTGATGACAATGAAACCTTTTTTATAGTATAGATGAGGTTTTCTTAAAATTTATTTAAAACGATGAACGATCTTCTGTCAAAGTGGTTGAGGCTGGCTTGCATTCGTTAAATTGATAATCGCAATGTTGCATCTACTGAAGTTGACAGTTTACAGATATCTGCAGTAATAGTTAATATGGAAGTAATATCTCGTTATATCACAGTAACTAATAATTATGGGAATAAAATCTATATTGGCTCAAAGTTAGACTCAAAATTTCTCAATAGAGATGTTGTACGAAATCAGATTTCGTTGAAGTATAGATCTCTTTTTCAAAGACTCGACTAATAGTAAATAATCTAAATCTATCAACTTACCAATTATTCGGAATATTATTATTGCTCAGTAAAAATGTAACGTTTTGCTGTTACGAACATAAAATAGTCGTTTTATTTTTTTTTCAATGAATAAATTAGATTATCTATTGAGGAAGAAAACATGAATACCAAAAACTGAAAATGCTTCTGAAAAACCAATATAGAAAATTTCTAATTAAGAATTATACAAAATATACAATCTGTTTATAGAAAATGATTGACCTTGCTTTTCAAATATAGATGAAACTAATTTAATTTAATTGAATATTTCATGGCAAACATCCTTTTCACTTGTCGACTTGATTGTGAACATTTGGATGAATTATAATATAGAATGTAAAATAATGTAAAATGTTAAATGTTAAATTTCCACAGTTAAATACAGTAATCTCCTATGAATTATGAAAATTTTGCTGACAAAGGATTAATCGATTTAATGCCGAACAAAATTGAGAAAATGTTTATTTTTCACAGTAAATACACTCATAATATAATTTCTTTATCAAAATCTACGTAAGCGCAACCCACTCCTTTCCATGCGATGTGGATTTCATTTTTGTGTGTTTGTGTTTGTAGAATACATTATATCTTTTAGAAGAATGTTGGTCCAATTATTCTAGGAATTAATATAAATTACCTATAAAATAATGATCGGAAATATAGAAGATAATCTAAATTGTAAAATATTATGGATATAGAACATAGATTTATGTTTTTGATTGTAAATATTAATTTGTTATTTCTCTTGTAATATAAATATATTGATTCTATTTTAAATAAATATTTTATTTTATATTAAATGCAAATGTTAATTTCAATAGTAAAAGTGAAATTGATGATATTAATATATTATTTAATTTGTGTAAGCTTTGTTTAAATTACAATATTTTTTTAATTATTGGAACGACGAAATTACCTCATATAGCCAATTATTATGATTTAAATTAGATAATATTGTTTTCACTGTTGTATAGAATACATAAAAGTAACATATGACATCGATATTTTTATTAACTGTAATGAAATAAGTCTTTTATATTCATTCAAGAGCTTTGAGTTATAATTATTTTAATGTATGATGTCTTGTGATTATTACCGTGCCAAAACATTCTAATGATGCGTCAAATAATTTACCGATTTTTAAAGTGAAGACTTTGGTACCCTTTTGTAGTATAAAAAGTATTAATTTTTGCGTTTGTACGGATGTTACATACCACTGAATATTATACCTGGAAAATAATGATTATTTTAATCAATAAAACAATTGTCGCTTATATGATATAAATTTTCTTTTGATAATCACCAATACAATTACATAAAGAAAGAAAGAGGAAGAGAAACAGATTGCTGTGTTTCTCTACATTTTTTAAAATATTGTTTTTATATTACAAATGTATATATTCGCCTATACAAAATTAAGATTATTAGAAGAATTAAGACACCGAGAGATACATTAAGACACCGAGAGATACATTCGTTTTTGATCCATAAATTCGTTTTTCTCTCAAAATGATATTGTAATTTACGAGTTATCAAATCATAAACTATTAATAATATTCAACGTTTCATGAAACGTTACAATTATATTACAATTATATTACTTTATAATGGTTTATAGTATGATAGTAACTCGTAAATTACAATACAATTTTGAAAGAAATGCTCGTGGCAACAAGACAAATAAGGCTTTTCTCTTTCCTTCCATAACAAATTTATAAAGTAAAGTGCAAATGCAAAAGTATATACTGATTATATTTGGCTCAATATTTATAGTAATTCATAATTATTTATTTTATTATTAACTAATTTATACATACAATACAATTAGAATTACAATTTACAATTGAAATTTACAATTTACAATTGAAATACAGTTATATAATTCATTGTATGAAACAGTCTCTTACGCGGTAGCATAAACATTACTATTATGATCCAAAATTTCTTGTGCGAGATAAGACGCTAGAAACATGTATGCAAGAATACTAGATACAAAAACAAAATAAAAAATGCATTCCTCCTTGTTTCCATTCGAAATAGCCCAAAAAATCTAAAATAATAATATAGTTGTTATAAATTTATATATATTTAACAATTATTCATTTTATACCATATTATTATAAAATTGCAAGTAAATAACACACAAAACATTACCATCTTTTACTGAAAATTTCTAGTTAATTAAAGATTAACTAATTATCACTGATTTTGATTAATATCATATAATTCTATAACATTTTAATAACATATTTAAAAACATGAAACTTACTGCGAAAAGATTGACACTTAAAGAAAACACACTAAACAGTATTAATAGAATGAATGATCCTTCAAAAGTCGATAATAAAAATTCGACATATCTTGAAAAAAATATTTTTACAAATACTATAAGATCGTATACAGCATATATTATATATACCAACTTTACAGCTTTGCGATGGATGTCGATAGCATAAGTTATTCCTTTTTGAAACGTA